CTGAAGAACCATTCACTTGAGTTTCTTCATATTTGATACCAAGCTTCATCCAGGGAAGGCGCAGGGCCCAGTCGATTTGGTGACCTTCACATAATTTTCAAAGTCATGACGATACTTTGAAGATTTCAGCTTGTTAACCTGAATTGTCAGCAAGATATTTCAAGAACAGTGCGCTGGATTTTCTTCATAGACTTTCAAGACTTCCCTTGAATGTTTTTCAATAAGCAATTTCTTTAGTACTATTTTTGCATATTTCATACACTATGACATTCATGTCAAGGTCAAAGTCAGTCTTGAAAATATGTTTGTGTTTGAACAACTAAAGAGCAAGATATCAAGAGAGGTTGACTGGTCATGTTTTTGTTGACATTTAACTTCATCTTAAACTTTCATTACTTTATAAGAAAGATTTGATCATTTGCGGCGGGTGATTATGTCACTTTAGTGACAATGCTTGTGTTAATTTTGAATTGTTTGAAGCACAGGTACAAATCTTTTTGTAGCCATCGCAAGAAAAACAGACTTAGGGTTATCTCCCTTCCATCGCTTTGCATTCGCAAAACATCGGTAATTTCCGTACATCATTACGTAATTCAATGTAATTCGAAATAAAGATATACTACCACGAAGTACCAAATGTGTTGCCATTGACAGCGGGGTACATTGAAATGTTACTCGCTTGTAAGCGAGGTACATTGAAAATAATAGAAGGGCGCTCAGCCCATCAGAAAGCGACATTTATGTATGAGGTAAGATAATGAATGGTGTAAGCCTTGCAACTTGATAGATATTGATTTATTCATGAGTATAATCCACAGTAACCTGTGAAAGAAAACAGATGTTGACCGTGTACATTTATATTTCTCATTGACTTGCTTGTCACCTGAGCAAAAACAAAACAAGTTGCTTTCTGTGGTAGCTTATTCCTAGACTCTATAGCCACCATGACAGATGGGAGACTCTATAGCCACCATGACAGATGGGAGACTCTATAACCACCATGAAAGATGGGAGACTCTGTAACCACCATGACAGATGGGAGACTCTGTAACCACCATGACAGATGGGAGACTCTATAGCCACCATGACAGATGGGAGACTCTATAGCCACCATGACAGATGGGAGACTCTATAGCCACCATGACAGATGGGAGACTCTATAGCCACCATGACAGATGGGAGACTCTATAACCACCATGACAGATGGGAGACTCTATAACCACCATGACAGATGGGAGACTCTGTAACCACCATGACAGATGGGACAGATGGGGGAGACTCTATAACCACCATGACAGATGGGAGACTCTGTAACCACCATGACAGATGGGAGACTCTATAGCCACCATGACAGATGGGAGACTCTGTAACCACCATGACAGATGGTAGACTCTATAGCCACCATGACAGATGGTAGACTCTATAGCCACCATGACAGATGGGAGTCTCTATAGCCACCATGACAGATGGGAGACTCTATAACCACCATGACAGATGGGAGACTCTGTAACCACCATGACAGATGGGAGACTCTATAGCCACCATGATAAATGGGAGACTCTATAGCCACCATGACAGATGGTAGACTCTATAGCCACCATGAAAGATGGTAGACTCTATAGCCACCATGACAGATGGGAGTCTCTATAGCCACCATGACAGATGGGAGACTCTGTAACCACCATGACAGATGGGAGACTCTGTAACCACTTTGACAGATGGGAGACTCTATAGCCACCATGATAAATGGGAGACTCTATAGCCACCATGACAGATGGTAGACTCTGTAGCCACCATGACAGATGGGAGACTCTATAGCCACCATGACAGATGGGAGACTCTATAGCCACCATGACAGATGGTAGACTCTATAGCCACCATGACAGATGGTAGACTCTATAGCCACCATGACAGATGGGAGACTCTATAGCCATTATGACAGATGGGAGACAGACTATGACCAGTATATCTGAAGTGGCAGACTCTCTGACAACCGTGGCACAAATGGGAGACTGTATGACCACTATTACAGTGATAGGAGACACTTTAACCAATAATATTTGTGTTGGAGATTATGGATTATGATCATGACTTGGGACTTAAGAAGGATATTCTTGAACCAGTCCTTGAAGGTAGACTCTAAACCACAATGATTAGGCATGAGAAAGGAAGTTTTACACACTGGTCTGGGAGATTCTGATATCGATAATCAGCATATGGAAAGTATTCATCCGCCGATCAGCAATGGAAAGTATTCATCCAGCGATCAGGATTTTGGTGTGTGTGTGTGTGTGTGTGTGTGTGTGTGTGTGTGTGTGTGTGTGTGTGTGTGTGTGTGTGTGTGTGTGTGTGTGTGTGTGTGTGTGTGTGTGTGTGTGTGTGTGTGTGTGTGTGTGTGTGTGTGTGTGTGTGTGTGTGTGTGTGTGTGTGTGTGTGTGTGTGTGTGTGGTGAGGGTGTGGGGGTGGGGTGTAGTGGAGGGGGGTATAAATCATGACGTCCAAAGGATAGGGGGAAATGGTCCTCATGGAAATTATTTACGGGGCAGAAGCTGTGTGTGTGTGCATCCTCCCTCTCTGGATCCGCCCCGGGGATGGTGTTCTATGTAAAACAGTGTGTCTCAGTCAACACTGATGTTTTGCAGCCTTTCTGCAACAGCTGCAGTGTTTGCATTACACAACGACCTGACAGCTGTTGACCACCATACAGGACACTGTCAATAAGTACAGATATTTGCTGTACCGATCAATGCCTTATCCCTTACCTTTCATAACATACCTATGCAGCTGTCTTATCAGCCTACATCAATACCTCCTTTACAACTCGGCTATTATGAGGCAGTGCCCCTTTTGTTGCTTGTGGAATATTTAATAAGAATGGTATTCCCACCCCCACTGAGACAGGTTCAAACTCCCAGGTAGCGTTATGATAGTTATAACACAGGTGGTTGGGAATAATAAAATTTCATGTTGATTAATAAATCATATAAGACAAATGTAAGTCAAACTGTGACCTTCCCCAGTGATGATAGTTGGCCTGTCTGCATCTCACTATTGCAGAAAGTTGTGTCTACCCATTATGACCAGAGCCGTGTCTCTCCTAAGGAGACAAGAACCCTGTCGCTGTATTTCTCTTCAATGATGACAATTGTCTTTCCTTAGAGACAATGACTTAGTCTCTCTTTAGTGACAGGAACTATCTTTCAGTGACTTAGTCTCTGCTGAGGGATATGAACTGTCTCTCAGTGAAGTGTGTCTCCCAAAGTGTGTCTGTGAACTGTCAATCCCTAATGACAAGAGGGTCATGTCTCTCTCTGTTGATGGGAACTATGTCTCCCTAATGAAACAATATGTGTCTCTCCCTAATGAGGGTTGTCTCTCCCTTTGATAACAACAGTGTCTCTCCCTAATGAGGGTTGTCTCTCTCTTTGATAACAACAGTGTCTCTCCCTAATGAGGGTTGTCTCTCCCTTTGATAACAACAGTGTGTCTCTCCCTAATGAGTGTTGTCTCTCCCTTTGATAACAACAGTGTTTCTCCCTAATGAGTGTTGTCTCTCTCTTTGATAACAACAGTGTCTCTCCCTAATGAGGGTTGTCTCTCCCTTTGATAACAACAGTGTCTCTCCCTAATGAGGGTTGTCTCTCCCTTTGATAACAACAGTGTCTCTCCCTAATGAGGGTTGTCTCTCCCTTTGATAACAACAGTGTCTCTCCCTAATGAGGGTTGTCTCTCCCTTTGATAACAACAGTGTGTCTCTCCCTAATGAGGGTTGTCTCTCCTTTGATAACAACAGTGTCTCTCCCTAATGAATGTTATCTCTCTCTTTGATAACAACAGAGTCTCTCCCTAATGAGGGTTGTCTCTCCCTTTGATAACAACAGTGTCTCTCCCTAATGAGGGTTGTCTCTCCCTTTGATAACAACAGTGTCTCTCCCTAATGAGGGTTGTTCTCCCTTTGATAACAACAGTGTCTCTCCCTAATGAGGGATGTCTCTCCCTAATGAGGGCTGTTTCTCCCTAATGAGGGTTGTCTCTCCCTTTGATAACAACAGTGTTTCTCCCTAATGAATGTTATCTCTCTCTTTGATAACAACAGTGTCTCTCCCTAATGAGGGTTGTCTCTCCCTTTGATAACAACAGTGTCTCTCCCTAATGAGGGTTGTCTCTCCCTTTGATAACAACAGTGTGTCTCTCCCAATGAGGGTTGTCTCTCCCTTTGATAACAACAGTGTCTCTCCCTAATAAGGCTTGTCTCTCCCTTTGATAACAACAGTCTCTCCCTAATGAGGGTTGTCTCTCCCTTTGATAACAACAGTGTCTCTCCCTAATGAGGGTTGTCTCTCCCTTTGATAACAACAGTGTCTCTCCCTAATGAGGGTTGTCTCTCCCTTTGATAACAACAGAGTCTCTCCCTAATGAGGGTTGTCTTACCTTTTGATAACAACAGTGTCTCTCTGGGTTTCAAGTTTGTTGTCAGTTTTTACAAGAGACTGAAACTACTTCAGCTTGTTTTTATTTTATATAAACTATACAATCATTTGTGAAATGACTTCAAATGAGACAATTCAAAGAGAGAAAAGCTATTGCAATAGTATTGCAATAGTTGGTCGCAGTAGTATGTTGCAATAGACTATCGCTATCGCAATAGTTGTTTCCCCCTCAATAGTTACCCCTAGTTAAAGCATTCACGTTCAATTCCCCACGTGGGTACAATATGTGAAGCCCATTTCAGGTGTCCCCTACCGTGATATTGCTGGAATATTGCTAAAAGTGGCATAAAACCATACTCACTCACTCACTCACTCACTCACTCACTCACTCACTCACTCACTCACTCACTCACTCACTCACTCACTCACTCACTCACTCACTCACTCACTCACTCACTCACTCACTCACTCACTCACTCACTCACTCACTCACTCAAGGATGATGGTGATCTGTAGGGAATCTTTTTTTTAAGTTCTTCATGAATCAATTTCTTTTTGTTATCATTTCAGATAAGATTTGGACTGGACCGAACAGTGATACAAGATGCAGACAGGATGGCAGACATTGGATAGGCATGGCAGACACAGTGTTTGTTATACCTGCTTGAAATATGATGACCTCAAGTCCATAAGTGACCAAAACCTGTGATGATTTGTGTTAGAATTTGTCTTCAGCAAACCATGCTTGTCGTAAGAGGCGATTAACAGGATCAGGTGGTTAGGCTCGCTGACTTGATTGATGCATGTCATTGTATCCCAATTGCAAAGGTTGACGCTCATGATGTCAATCACTGGATTGTCTGGTCCAGACTCAATTATTTGCAGAACACCACCATGTAGCTCGAATGTTGCTGTGCCCCGTTAAACAACAAACAAATCATTCATTGTTAAAAGCCTGTGAATCAAAGATAACTACTCCAGAAACAAACAGTCATTCCATGATTTTACGACTATTGAACTTTCATCAGCTACCACATGTTTAGGGGGCTGAATCAACAGGTACACAATATAGCTTAATCAAATACTGGAAAATCATTGTCTATTTGTGTTTGTGTTAACACTCCTCTTGCGACTATCGTCAAACTGTCTATTAGCGGAAGTTATTGTACTGATCAATCAAATGTCATGTGACAGATACCTACATATTGGCACATCAACATAGACTTTACAACAAACTCATAACACCAATATCATGTTCCTTTCAACCTAATCCTGCCGAGTAATGAAGATGTCACAGTGATATGGAATCAATGGAAGTTGTTTCATTAAATCCCATATGCTCAGCTCCCTTATTAAACATGTCAGAAAGGTTGAACCCTTTGCAATGCTGGTACAGTGTGTTAACACAAACACACACAAGATGTTTTTCTTACACAGACACACCATTCCTGTAAACTTTGTACAGATAAAAGGGACAGACCAAGACAGATAAAGGAACGCTGAAGATGTAACACATGTACAGAGAATGTCAGATAGAAGACACCAGACAAGTACAGAAGATGTCAGATACAAGACACCAGACAAGTACAGAAGATGTCAGATACAAGACACCAAACAAGCACAGAGAATGTCGGATAGAAGACACCAGACAAGTACAGAGAATGTCAGATACAAGACACCAGACAAGTACAGAAGATGTCAGATACAAGACACCAGACAAGTACAGAAGATGTCAGATACAAGACACCAGACAAGTACAGAAGATGTCAGATACAAGACACCAGACAAGTACAGAAGAATGTCAGATACAAGACACCAGACAAGTACAGAGAATGTCAGATACAAGACACCAGACAAGTACAGAAGATGTCAGATACAAGACACCAGACAAGTACAGAAGATGTCAGATACAAGACACCAGACAAGTACAGAGAATGTCAGATACAAGACACCAGACAAGTACAGAGAATGTCAGATACAAGACACCAGACAAGTACAGAGAATGTCAGATACAAGACACCAGACAAGTACAGAGAATGTCAGATACAAGACACCAGACAAGTACAGAGAATGTCAGATACAAGACACCAGACAAGTACAGAGAATGTCAGATACAAGACACCAGACAAGTACAGAGAATGTCAGATACAAGACACCAGACAAGTACAGAGAATGTCAGATACAAGACACCAGACAAGTACAGAGAATGTCAGATACAAGACACCAGACAAGTACAGAGAATGTCCGATACAAGACACCAGACAAGTACAGAGAATGTCAGATACAAGACACCAGACAAGTACAGAGAATGTCAGATACAAGACACCAGACAAGTACAGAGAATGTCGGATACAAGACACCAGACAAGTACAGAGAATGTCAGATACAAGACACCAGACAAGTACAGAGAATGTCCGATACAAGACACCAGACAAGTACAGAGAATGTCAGATACAAGACACCAGACAAGTACAGAAGATGTCAGATACAAGACACCAGACAAGTACAGAGAATGTCAGATACAAGACACCAGACAAGTACAGAAGATGTCAGATACAAGACACCAGACAAGTACAGAGAATGTCAGATAGAAGACACCAGACAAGTACAGAGAATGTCAGATACAAGACACCAGACAAGTACAGAAGATGTCAGATACAAGACACCAGACAAGTACAGAGAATGTCAGATACAAGACACCAGACAAGTACAGAGAATGTCAGATACAAGACACCAGACAAGTACAGAGAATGTCAGATACAAGACACCAGACAAGTACAGAAGATGTCAGATACAAGACACCAGACAAGTACAGAGAATGTCGGATAGAAGACACCAGACAAGTACAGAGAATGTCAGATACAAGACACCAGACAAGTACAGAGAGATGTCAGATACAAGACACCAGACAAGTACAGAAGATGTCAGATACAAGACACCAGACAAGTACAGAGAATGTCAGATACAAGACACCAGACAAGTACAGAGAATGTCAGATACAAGACACCAGACAAGTACAGAGAATGTCAGATACAAGACACCAGACAAGTACAGAAGATGTCAGATACAAGACACCAGACAAGTACAGAGAATGTCAGATACAAGACACCAGACAAGTACAGAGAATGTCAGATACAAGACACCAGACAAGTACAGAAGATGTCAGATACAAGACACCAGACAAGTACAGAGAATGTCAGATACAAGACACCAGACAAGTACAGAGAATGTCAGATAGAAGACACCAGACAAGTACAGAGAATGTCAGATACAAGACACCAGACAAGTACAGAGAATGTCAGATAGAAGACACCAGACAAGTACAGAGATGTCAGATACAAGACACCAGACAAGACACAGAAGATGTCAGATACAAGACACCAGACAAGCACAGAGAATGTCAGATACAAGACACCAAGACACCAGACAAGTACAGAAAATGTCAGATACAAGACACCAGACAAGTACAGAAGATGTCAGATACAAGACACCAGACAAGTACAGAAGATGTCAGATACAAGACACCAGACAAGTACACAAGTAGAAGATGTCAGATACAAGACACCAGACAAGTACAGAAGATGTCAGATACAAGACACCAGACAAGTACAGAGAATGTCAGATACAAGACACCAGACAAGTACAGAGAATGTCAGATACAAGACACCAGACAAGTACAGAGAATGTCGGATACAAGACACCAGACAAGTACAGAAGATGTCAGATACAAGACACCAGACAAGCACAGAGAATGTCAGATACAAGACACCAGACAAGCACAGAAGATGTCAGATACAAGACACCAGACAAGCACAGAGAATGTCAGATACAAGACACCAGACAAGTACAGAAGATGTCAGATACAAGACACCAGACAAGCACAGAGAATGTCGGATACAAGACACCAGACAAGTACAGAAGATGTCAGATACAAGACACCAGACAAGTACAGAGAATGTCGGATACAAGACACCAGACAAGTACAGAAGATGTCAGATACAAGACACCAGACAAGCACAGAGAATGTCAGATACAAGACACCAGACAAGTACAGAAGATGTCAGATACAGGACACCAGACAAGTACAGAGAATGTCAGATAGAAGACACCAGACAAGTACAGAAAATGTCGGATACAAGACACCAGACAAGTACAGAGAATGTCCGATACAAGACACCTGACAACTACAGAGAATGTCCGATACAAGACACCAGACAAGTACAGAGAATGTCAGATAGAAGACACCAGACAAGTACAGAGAATGTCCGATACAAGACACCAGACAAGTACAGAAGATGTCAGATACAAGACACCAGACAAGTACAGAGAATGTCCGATACAAGACACCAGACAAGTACAGAAGATGTCAGATACAGGACACCTGACAAGTACAGAGAATGTCAGATACAAGACACCAGACAAGTACAGAAAATGTCGGATACAAGACACCAGACAAGTACAGAGAATGTCCGATACAAGACACCAGACAAGTACAGAGAATGTCAGATACAAAACACCAGACAAGTACAGAAGATGTCAGATAGAAGACACCAGACAAGTACAGAAAATGTCGGATACAGGACACCTGACAAGTACAGAAGATGTCAGATAGAAGACACCAGACAAGTACAGAAGATGTCAGATACAAGACACCAGACAAGTACAGAAGATGTCAGATAGAAGACACCAGACAAGTACAGAAGATGTCAGATACAAGACACCAGACAAGTACAGAAGATGTCAGATACAAGACACCAGACAAGTACAGAAGATGTCAGATACAAAACACCTGACAAGTACAGAAAATGTCAGATACAAGACACCAGACAACTACAAAGAATGTCAGATACAAAACACCAGACAAGTACAGAAGATGTCAGATACAGGACACCTGACAAGTACAGAGAATGTCAGATACAAGACACCAGACAAGTACAGAGAATGTCAGATACAAGACACCAGACAAGTACAGAGAATGTCAGATACAAGACACCAGACAAGTACAGAGAATGTCAGATACAAGACACCAGACAAGCACAGAGAATGTCAGATACAAGACACCAAACAAGCACAGAGAATGTCGGATACGAGACACCAGACAACTACAGAGAATGTCAGATACAGGACACCAGACAAGTACAGAAGATGTCCGATACAAGACACCTGACAAGTACAGAAGATGTCAGGTACCAGACATTTGACAAGTACAGAGAATGTCAGATACAAGACACCAGACAAGTACAGAAGATGTCAGATACAATGCATAGACACAAAATATAGCCACAAGATACAAGGTACAGATGAGATAACTGGTATAGCCACAAGATACAAGGCACAGACAAGATAATTGGTATAGCCACAAGATACAAGGCACAGACAAGATAATTGGTATAGCCACAAGATACAAGGCACAGACAAGATGATTGTTATAGCCACAAGATACAAAGCACAGGCAAGATAATTGGTATAGCCACAAGATGCAAGATACTGATGAGATAATTGGTATGGCCACAAGATACAAGGCACAGGCAAGATAATTGGTATAGCCACAAGATGCAAGGTACAGATGAGATCATTGGTATAGCCACAAGATACAAGGTACAGATGAGATAACTGGTATAGCCAGAAGATACAAGGCACAGACAAGATAATTGGTATAGCCACAAGATACAAGGTACAGATAACATAATTAGTATAGCCACAAGATACAAGGCACAGACAAGATAATTGTTATAGCCACAAGATACAAGGTACAGATGAGATAATTGGTATAGCCACAAGATACAAGGCACAGACAAGATAATTGTTATAGCCACAAGATACAAGGTACAGATGAGATAACTGGTATAGCCACAAGATAAAAGGTACAGATGGGATAATTGATGTAGCCACAAGATACAAGGTACTGATGAGATAATTGGTATGGCCACAAGATACAAGGTACAGATGAGATCATTCGTATAGCCACAAGATACATGACACAGACAAGATAATTGTTATTGCCACAAGATATAAGGTACAGATGAGATAATTGGTATGGCCACAAGATACAAGGCACAGATCAGATATTTGGTATAGCCACAAGATACATGGCACAAAAAAGATAATTCTTATAGCCACAAGATACAAGGTACAGACAAGATAATTGGTATGGCCACAAGATACAAGGCACAGACAAGATAATTGTTATAGCCACAAGATAGAAGGCACAGACAAGATAATTGGTATAGCCACAAGATACAAGGCACAGACAAGATAATTGGTATGGCCACAAGATACAAGGCACAGACAAGATAATTGGTATAGCCAAAAGATACAAGGCACAGACAAGATAATTGTTATAG